AAAGGGAGCGAGTTTGTTCCAAGACGTCAATGTTGCAATGTTGTTGTTGTAATGCCTAGTACGATTGTGGACAGATTGTGTAGACTCTGACCTCCGGTGGTGGGCGCTGATCCACGAAACGCGTACGGCCCCGCTCGTGGCCACTTTCACCACAAGCAGCGGGCTTGTCCAGGTGCCGCTTGCAAAGATTCTGGGCGACGCCACAGAGGACACGCATGGGGATTTTGAGTCGTTTTGAGGGGCAGAGGCTCAAATTCATCTAGGATGTCACACGGAGTTCGATGACGCTGCAAGTATTTTCTTGGCCATGCGACGAACCATGGTTGGCACTACCAAATCCAAGGGCCCTGCAGGCGAGACGGGGCAGATAGGAACACCTCGAATCATGCACTTGCATTCCAGCAGTATCTCTGCACAAGTCATCGGCTACACGTCGTGCGTTCCCAGATGTCACTGAGAGGAGCTTGCAGGTTCTATCAATAACGATACTGCCTGGGCCCCAGTCAAGGCAGCCACCGTACGTTGGAAAATTGCTTTGGCAATGAAACTGACATGCAACTCCGAAGCAGCAAACCACCTTGCACTTTCTTGCGCTAAGAGTCTGCCACATGGCACAGCAGGTGTGCAACATGGCATGGCACCCCAACCTGAAACATGCCGCCTGTTCCCTCTCCGAAGAGCGTCACGTGCCCAAAGTACCCTTCAGAATTCCGTTTTCCCAGATTGCAGTAGCCGGTGTCTTCTCAGCTTGGCACACGGCATGGGAACATGTGAAGCAGCTAGGCCAGCTAGGCAGGACACCTTGATAAATGAAGTGCTTCGGCTACAATCAGAGATGAAAGTCAGATCCTGAAACGCCACTCCTTGTGAGTGAACAGATTACCGGACTGCTCAACGCCACCTTCGGCAACGCGGTAGAGATGATCGTCGCTATCCAGCCTGGGACCTATATGCAGCATTCGGCCAAGATGGGCTTTGCAGCTGTGAGATGGCAACTCCCTGCGAGCCCTGCGCAAGTTACATGTGCGGTTTTGGTGCACCGTGACGCTGAAGGTCTATCAGATCCAACTTGCTGGACATAGTGAAGGCTGGGAGTGACCCCGGGAGGTGGAAAACGTGTCTTGATGCAAGTGCGGTGAAACCAAAACATGAAAGGGTCTGCAAGTGGTGCTCTGATGGACACCACGACCTACCTACACGCTTGAGTCCTGCTTCCAATCCGTGTGTGCGTGTGTTGCTGAAGTGCTTGTAACAACATGTTCAGGCCAGCCTTCTGGGTTCCGTGCTTTCGAACACCCTCCTTGTGCGGAGACCTCAGCACAAATCAGGCTGACATCAGCAGCTGACAGGAGCGATAGGGTCGAAAACATCTCTGACACTACTCGTAGGCATTTTTGGCGTGTCATTCGGTCTTCTTCAACCTACCTACCCAGGTGCAAAGAGCCAATCCTGGGCCTGTCCTGTTCCCCCTTGATTCTACTGTTTCCCAGGTTGGGCACTGCCTTCCTTTTGGGTGGCCTTACGCGGAGCCGGAAGAGGACAGCACTTGTTTCAGAAGAGCCATAGCAGCTCCCTTCAAACACCGTTGGTATTAGGCCTCTCGGAGTAAACCGGCAGATCTTCAACTTAAGGGGGTCAGTATAAGAACACCCCGTAAGAAGTCGAATGAAGGCGATTGCTTTAACAAACGCAGAGCAAAGCAGGGTTAACTAGCCATGCGTCGCCAGTAATTAGAGGGAATGTCCATTCAAATACCTTGCAGAGTCTCCGACGGAAGTGCAATCGAGGTTGCATGCATGGGGTTGGGAAGCTTGCTGACAGGAGAGGGCGATACCACTCGTTTCACGTTGTCAGTGAGGCTCGCACCTGCGAATCATGTCTGTATGCTCCTTTGCACCGGCCCGGATGGCAACGCAACCCTGCGATGTGAGACCAAAAAAGAGCCCCGTTTTAAATCGCTGATACGTGTACAGCGCAGACATGCACGGCTTGTCCGGGAGCCCTTTGAGAAGGCTCGGCTCCAACCAGAACGATACAGCAAGCATAGCTTTCAGTGGGATCCGGTGGTTAGGCCCTCTCACTCCTCTCATTTCAGTTCTCAAGAGATCTCAAGAGGCCTCCGCCTCTTTCCAGGGACGGGCCAATCACGTTTGAAGTTTAAACGTTTAAACATTTTAGGCGTTTAAACTGTTTGCACAGAGTTCGGGCTGTGGAGCGTCTAAACAGAAACAGTTCACAGGGCTCAACGTTTAAACATTTGGTGGGGCTCCAGGGCGTGCGTTTAAACATGTTTAAGAAGTTGTTGCCAAGTGTTCAAACAGTTCTCCGGGCAATTCTTGGCCCAAGATTTGTGATCTGCACACGTGCTCTTTGCAGCCGCTGTGTGTCTGTGTGTGTGTGTGTGTTATGTTTAAACAGATGTTTAAACATGTGTGCGTTTAAACATTTGACAGTTTAAACCGCTTAATGTTTAACCCACGTTTAAACAGTTTAAACCGTTTAAACATTCTGAACCGCCAGGGCGCTGTTTGTTTAAACGTGGTGTGCTTAAACAACGAAAATTTAAACCGTTTAAACACAACCCCCCGCCCAACCCTGCCTCTTTCCCTCCATTTGCCGTACTTTAGCCAATTGTGAAAACTCGCTTGACTGCGCACTTAGCGCAGCGACGCGTGATACTCTCAAGCGAGCTATGTTCAGGTTGAAGGGGTATTATTCAGCCAGGGCGATTTAATGATTCCAACGTGGTGTTTGATTTGGTTGGCGTGAGGCGTCCACAATGTACTGTAGCATCAAGATTGTCTCATGTTGATGACAGCAGGGGCGGGGTATGAACGTTCAAACCGCAAACCGCCAAAGAGCATGCAGGAGTTCGAGAAGAACGGCCCAACGAGGATGGAAAAAGAGCAGAAGTGAGCGACCAAGCTTTGGTTGCACCTCATAGGAGCTTTCAAGGGCACTTGCAGCTGACGCCGAAGCCTGCTGAGTGGCTGTACTCAGGTTTGCTGTCAAGTCTGCGCTGATCAGCATGGCCATGCTCATGTTTAGCTGCATGTCTTTTGCCGGGGCCTTATCTCAACACGTTCTCTCTGCACTCTGCACAAGCCCTCCCCACGATCGTTGTCCAACGTGTTTTTGTGCTTCTGCCGTGTTCCGCCTCGGACAGCCCAAGCGCTAGGTCAGTTCCGAATCATGTGCCAAAAGAAGCCTCAGCTTGTTTGGTAGAATGCTTCGGCCGTGAGCTGTGTTGCTTTGTGTGCATAGCATGCTGATACCACGTGACGAGGCCCTTCCAACGATCTTCAATTCCTACCCGTCCGACGACCGGAAGTCGGTGCTACAGGCTTCGATGCGACAGAACAACAAGGATTTCTTTTGTCCAAGGTGCTTTTGGGGTTTAGGGTGTAGGGTTTAGAGTTAGCTTAGAATTTAGACTTGAGGGTTTAGGGTTAGGGTATGGTCTTCTTACGTTGAGACCGCAAGGCATAAAGTCATTCAGGGTTAGTCGGCTTGCTTGGGGCATGAACTGAGGCATGGGTCTCTTCATGTGGGGCTTCCGTTGAGGGATTCCTCCCGCCTCGAGTGTTACAAAAAGGAGAGATTCGTTTCTTTCAGGCTTCTTTCGTTCTGCGACTTCTCGGAATACTCCATATACTTGTACACAGTGTATGCCGCGCACATCGATACTTCCACAGACTCTGGGCTCTCCCAACGCGCAAAGAGGCCCACGCACCCACCAAGGCATGAGGTCTCCTGCTGTTCCCTTCGTGCTTCGGATGTCTGAGGGCTTGTTTGCCTCCCTGGTTACATGTAAGGCCTCAATCTTGCATCTTCACATACAGTATCGCTCCATGCAGACTTTCAGCCCTGTGGAATAGCAGAGGTCTCACGAATTGGAGCCGTCATCGTGCTGCCAGGGCCTCGTCTAAAACCATCCTTCAGAGCCACACAGACCTTGGGGTGCAGTCTCGAAAGAAATGGCGTCCCGATCACAAACCAGCGTCCGGGCAAGCCCCGAATAGACCAAACATGAAGTCAGCAAGTTTGCAACAGGCGAGGCAAACGGAAAAGGCGAAAACATCCGAAAAAACCGACCGGAAATTAGCGGACTAATTCGGAACTTCAACCCGACAACGAATCGGACGCAAAGCAGACAACCTAAGCAGAAAATGAACAGTGAGTGAATCGGACGTAGCAGGGAATAAGGCTGCGACGCCAGGAGGCTTTTGCCATAACTACAGGCATGAAATCATGAAGCTAAGCGCATAGTCAACTGTAATGCCTATGGAGTGTCCCCGCATTCGCGTTACGCAATGTTACGCAGCACCCCGACTTGATGTTTGCGCTCCAGCTTCTCTTTGAGGTCATCATATGTAGCATACCTCGTATTCCAGCTGCTGACGCACGAGAAGACCCTGGGTGGAGAGGCCTTGTGCGCACCGCGACAAGGGTCTTACAATCGATGGAAAAGTAAGCTGGTGTCGTCAATGTTAAAACACCAGCATAATAGTCATAATGGGCTGCTTTCAGGGATATACTGCCCGCTGTTGCTAAGTTGTCTTTCTGCTGATTGTTTTTGTTTAGTTAGGAAAACCTCCGCATGGCAGGAACGCGGATGCGCATGCCTTGCTTCGGGGGCTTTATCTTTTTCATGGAGCTTTGCTTGGAGAAGACTCACAAGCAAAGAGCAAGCACACAACCTAAACACCACAGCAGTTCTAAGCAAGTTTTCCGGCGCACGTCCGTTTGTTCGTCTGAGGCCTCCTACAGATGCAATGAACCTGTAAAGTGCCATGCTCCCAGATCATTGGTTTAAAGAAAGCACCAAATCATTAAAAGTTGGAAAGCTTCCTCTGCTGGAATGTCCTCGGACAGCTTGAAGGCAGCAACTTGGCACGTCTGCAGGTTGCGAGACGTCGACTCGGCATTGTGGCCCATAGAATTTTTTGTGTTTTCCTCTGTCTCGTAAGTCCCGTCGCCAGAGCTGGGGATCCGGCGCCATGGAAGACACTGGCGGCGAGCATGCTCTTGGAGTGCTGGGATCGTCATTCACCTCCAGTATGGACGTGCAGTCAGCGCAAGTGCGCATAACGACCTCAACCCTGGACTTGGACATGCCAAGAGCGGAAATGAAGAGCGAAGCTGCCCCCAGCCTCAACATGCTCTTGGCGGACATCAACAGAAAGATAGATCAGATAGCAGGCATGGAATCACGCCTCCTCCCAACAAAAAGTTTCATGGAGAGTGTGGCTGGAAGCCTGGCAGCCCATACCACATCTCTAGATAGCCTGTGCTATGCCGTGGAGCAGATCAGGGCGGAGGGCGAGTTTGCCAGCCGCTGCTCACGCATCTCCGCCAACAAGCGCAACTCGCACCTTTCGCGCCGCTCTTCGCACAAGGCATCGCCCAACCTGGCTAGTTTGTTGCCTTTGCCTAGCAGCGTACCTACACCTCAGGATGATGCTCCAGCCTTGTTAAATGGGTCGTCAAGCTCCTACAGCAAGCAAAGCAAAGTGAGCAAAGTGAGCAAAGTCTCCATTGATCCGACTCCAGATCGTGGGCTGCCCGTCAGTAGACTCAGTAGCAGCCGTGCCGTGCCGCGTGCACCGCCCAGAAACAAGAAGAAACTTCAGTCCTGTGCCAGCCATGCCAGCTCCAGTTGTGAGCAGATGCCATCTGCATCTGCTTACGGTATGATGGACGAGCTTGAGTCCTTCACGGCCCAGCAGCTCATGCACAAGCCTAGGAAGTCCCAGCCGGAGGGCAGTATTTCAGTTGAAGTTGGCGATGGCTCTGGAGGCGAGGCTTCAGTGCCCAAGCCCAAGTCCGGCCCAGCCCCAAAGCCTGCAAAGCCTGCAGCGGATGACGCGGACGCTGCCGATGCCAGGATCATCGGCAGGCCAAGGGCTGTCACAGTCAAGGGAGAAGATAAGGAAGGAATGCTGAAGAACTGCCGCCGCTTGTCGCTGGATGAGCTCAGGGAGAACTACAACCAAGTCATGGCGCGCACTTCAGCCAAAGACGGAAGTCCCAAGGCCACCAAGACCAGCGATGCCGTCAGTCCACTTGGCGAGTTTCCCGAACCCTGGAGTATTTCAACTGCGCTGCCATGCGTCTCTCGGATCCTTCTGAGCTTGGTCGGGATCCTGGACTTCGGGGAGGCTTGCTGTTGGCGAGCATTTTCGAGATGGGCCCATGGCGTGTGTCCCGTGATCCTCGTTGCAGTCCTCGCTTATGCAAGTGCGCAAGGGGTTGTGGAGGCCTATGACGCCGAAGCCTCCTGCTTCTACTTTGCAGGTGCTATCCTTGCAACCTTCAGCCTTCGGCGTTGTGGGCTGCAGTCCTTGCTCAATGCAAGTGAGAATTCCTTGGATGACTATGCAAGCAGGGCCGGCTTTCTGAAAGACTGGCGTAAGTTGTCGAAGCGGCGCTTGGTTGAAATGCTTCTCTTGTATGGACAGATGCTTGTTTGCAAAGTCGCCGTGAGTGTGCTGAGAGATGCGGGACCCTGGAGCGGCATGGACGTCGTGGCTCATCTTTCGATCGCTTTCATGGAGCTTCAGCATCTAAGGCTCTATTGGTATCCGTTTTCCTGAACAAAGGCTTCATAGGCTTCCCATCATCCTTGAGACAACCTGGAAAATGGCCCAAGAAAGTGCTTGAGCCTGAACCACAGCCACAGGTTTACGATGGTTGCGTGCGTGCAGCTTCATGTTTGTTGTGGCTTGGAGCTTGCCATCGACAGTTTCGGCTTCCGCTTCTTCAAGGACATGCCCTCACCACCTCCACTGCACCTGCCCCCCCCCCCCAATGGGCTTGCTTCCGCTTTGTTTGCAGGATCTGCAACAATCAAATCCTCAAGCGTAGCCCTGAAGGACATGGACCTGGAGGAGGCGCTCGACGAATGGAACATGCTGCAGGCGACCTTGCGGCAGGTGGCGGGGTGATTGAAAAATTGTTGGTCCCAAGTCTTCCACACCTCTACTCCATAATATCCCTGTCCTTGCGTGCTTTGTGGAGACGACCACCAGGTCTCCGGACGGCTCAGCGGGTCCATTCTCATGCTGGGCTTGTCTTGCCTAGGGCCCCTGGTCTTGCTGGCGGAAAGGGCGCTGCGCGACCCCGACTTCGTGTCAGCCAGCTTGGACACGGCCTTGTGGATTGCTTGGCTCTATCCACCCATCCTTCAGTTCCTTTACGTAACTGCGCGTGCTGCTTCTGTGACAGGTAGGGCTTGTCGGGTCGCTCCCTTGGTGAACTCTTGGAAGTTCGAGTCGCAGGAAGAAGAGTCAGAAGTGTCTGGGATGGACCCAGGGCGGCAGTATGTCGTGCAGTACATTATGCAAAGCGAGGCAGGCTTCTACATGAAAGGCGTGCGCATTACCAACTCGGACGTGCAGAAGATGGGCTACTACCTTGTAGCCTTCACGTTCGGGATTGCTTCCAGGTTTTTTTAACAAAAACGGACATCCGACTAGGAAGATGTTTTTCGTGACATTGGCATGCTTAAAGCATTCGAGTCAAAGCCCTGGACACTTTGGCAAAGTGTGTCGTCGCGGGTCATTTAGATGCCCGCCAAACCCAGGCCACAAGTCTAACGCCCTCTCATGCCCTGATCGGACTACCCGTGACTTTCCGATACCGGTTAAGTCAGTCATGGGGCCGTCGGGCTTGCAATGCTCATAGTTTCAGGCTACTGCTAAAGAGGTTTAGGGTTTAGGATTTATAAAGGGTTTAGGGTTGAGGGTTGAGGGTTTCGGGTGAGTATTTTCAGGCTTCGCTTTGAGTCTTGAGGGTCTTGTGGCTTGCGGGTTTCCAGAGTCCATACGCACGCGGAATTTTGCCACACCATTGAGCGTGGAGTAGCTCCCACTCACATGCTGCGCAGGCATTAAATGCTCCGCACGGCAATGTATAGTGTTCGAAGCATTCACGAACGAAAGGTGCACCAGATATAAGCATCCAACTCGGGTTTGACATTTCATCCCAGAGAAGAAGTTCCAAGGGAGAGAAGAAAAAACTAGCCGCTGACAACACGACCGTGCACCAGGATGCAGGCAGCGCAGTGTGATAAATCACATCAGGCACGCGCAGCCCTCACGGCCACACCTTTCAGTTAGATTGTCTTGGCTGACCCGGTCGCTGAAGAGATTGCCTGGAAAGTGGTAGTTCTCAGACGAACGTCCAAGAACAGCACGTGTGCACGTGCGGCATCATGAGCACTTATAACGATACCAAAACTCAAGCGACCTCGGCGCCCTGTTTAATTTCGGCTGCCGTGTGCATGGGCAGGGCAATCAGTCTGCCCGTATTTCTCCAAATTCCCGCATCATCATATCGCCCCTAAGAAAGAAGGCCAAAGGAAGAAGCCATAATGCAACCAGCAACCCCTCAAAAGCCAGCAGGTGTAGGCAAGACAAGTATTGAAATCATGGTGCACGTCATAATTCCAACTCCCCAAAGCCCAAAGAAGTCTGCCTCTGCAGGCTCAAGATTTAAGAATTCGGAAGGCAGCTGGGCTGCGTTGCTGCAGTGGTACCCTCATGAGTATGCTTCTCTGCTTTGGCTGCGGCTGCAGGCCCTGTCAGATGACCAAGGGAGTCATCTTCATGCATTGCTGGCTCCTAGTAGGCTCATCCACTCATGGACTGTAATTAGACTGCAATGCCGCAACTGGGCCACATGTGGCCCATCATCTCCGTCAACGAGAGCCAAATTTCCTGTATAGAGCTTGGCAATATGATTTGCCGCCCCACACGGCATGCCTGCAAACTTTCTTCAGGATTATCTCGAGCCCTCTGCAACCGAAACACCGTGCATAGTCTCGCAACTTCAAATGCTAGCAACCCAGGTGTGCGCAGAGTAACTTTCCCAGCCTAGCTTGGGCACCCAGTAGTAGAAGATGTCCTGCTCAAATTGGAAATGACCTCGTGTCAGAGCTACAGCAGCGCTGCAGCAGAGATGCAGAATTGGGGTCGCTGCAGCACGCCAATGCCTTCAGTTCCAGATTCAGTGGAACATCTGACCTGCCACGCTGGTTCTCCGTTCACACGGCCGTATTGGTGGACGCGCTTTGTTTACCAGTGCAAATCCAGACGTTTTCACAGTTGTCAAGCGTGCCGAAAAACACGCGGCCTATTAAGTAGTGGAATAAGCGCCACCTGAACTCAGCTTGTTGGCATCGCCTATTTTATTGGCCTCACCTGCCCGTTGCAGAGTCCATGCTTAGGACGCTTAGGACTACACGTAGTGTGAGTCAAACATAGATTGCCCAGAAACCTGGCGTGGTGTTGATGTTTTCACTGTTGATGTATGCACCAGTGGAAGACTCAACCAGATTGAGAATGCGGCATTCGGGTAGCAATCCGCAGAGAGGGCACGGGCTTGCTTGGCCCCCGATGGTCCCTTTCTGTGGAAGAATGTCCTCACTCTCGGTTGTAGGTTCCAGCCATGGTTCCAGCAGGTAATATGGAATGTGGAGTACACTCAAGAATTTTGAGGTTACTTGGGAGATTTCTTGTGGAGCTCATGCTTTACATCGCATGGGTGAGGAAGCAGTGGTCTGCGAGACTGTAGATTTCAGCTGGTCTCAACGAGCTGGCACCATGGCACCCTTCCTTCATGGCTGCACGGATTTCTGCATTCAACGGTGGCAACTGCTATAGGGATACATGCATCACACAGACTAGGCCTCTTCCCTGGAAGTGCAAATTGCTTTTGCTTTTTGGGGAATTTGTTTTGTTGCACTGTCTGATGTAGTGGGCTGTGCCATGGCGGCCCTCGCATCTGTATTATTTAGGGGGGCAGGAGGAGGAGAGAACTCAGAGGCAGGGCTCAAATGCCACCCAAAGGCTATGACATTGCCAACCGCAGCGTGGCGCATAGTTACAGGCAAAAACGAAGACGAATTCTTCTCATCATCGCCAGGGTCCTGAACAGAGCTCCACACACGTAGTACGTTTGAATCACTCATGATTTGTCTTCAACACTTTTCATTTTGGTTGAGTTTTTTTGGAAGGAGCTGGACCAGCCCGCGCAATGTACAAGTACTTTTCTGAGTTTAAATCAATTTTCCGAAAGTAAATTCAATGTCTTGGTTTTGCACACTTCGCTATTTCCTGGCATTTGTCACTTATTTTCTTCCACTTGTACAATTTCACAGAGGCGAGAAGATCAGCAAGCAAGCAAAAGAAGAAACCAACACAATGATAGCAAGAACCGGCAACAACCGAACCCGAATGACATAGACAATTCCACATTGGCATGGTATCAACATGTGTTGGTCTCTATTTTGGTTCGTGATGTCATCTTTAAACAGCTCGAGCGGCACTTACGACAGATTCCAGTAGGTATTTTGCTAGCTGGCCCCGGTCTGTCCCAGGCCTCAAAGACTTTGGCACAATCCTAAATGGTCCGATATCACTCAGGCACCTGCCGGCCCAAGGCTCCTATTCGCCTGGAGGCTGAGCCCCAACATCTCAACCCTTCCAACCATTTTCTGCATAGTGCTCATGACATGTTGCGAAGGGATCAAGGGATAACGTGCCTTCAACAATGAAAAATTGTAGCATGCGTTTCTCATATTTCGCCTCGCCTTCCGACACTTGCTACGGTTTCCCTAATCGTTTCCAATTTACATATGTATCTCCAGTGTGCTTCCAACAAGCTTAGAGTGAGAGTCCCGCAACGCTTGCGGGGAAAGCCCCATGGAAGTGGAAAGCCCGCAGCCATACTTGCACACTCCGAAGGCAAATGCTTGGCCGCTTTGGCCTGCCATGCTTTTCCATTGCCCTGCTGGAGTACTCGCACGAGTGCCGGCATAGTGGATGCAGAACAGCGGCCCAGCCAAGAGACTTATGCCATGGTAGCACAGAGTAGCAGAGGGGATGCACTTGAATGGGTTCCGTTGACTTGCTGTGTCGGCTGAAGTCAGACAATGTGCGCAACAGCCTCTGGAGAATCACCTTCAGTGAAGGGGCTGCGCTCGAAGGTAGTTTTCGGCAATGCTGCAGAGTGCGAGGCCTAGCAATAGCAAGGCAGAAGCTTCTCACTGATCCTTCACATCCTTCAACTCGTCGGACTTATACGTGTACACACATTCACTGAACCTTCATTATTGTCTTTTTGTTGCACGCAGAGGCTTCTCAGCTCTTTGAAGCCTCGAGACAGCTGTGCTCGGAGAGCCGGCGCTGCAAGCCCCCCCATCTTCTACCATTTCGAACGCTTCGAAAAGTCTCTAAAGCCACGTAAGACAGTGCTGAGTCAGCACGCCTTCTCAACTCTTGTCAAGCTTCATGCAGGCCGTCCTCACATCTCTGCACCCTAAATCATGCGAGTGCGAACCCGCCCGTGCAGAAGCCCACGCCCTGATTCGCTCCCATTAAATCCTTGTTGCACCAGGAAGATCATAGTTACTCGGTTGCCTGGAACTTAACTTAGGCTGTACACGGTTCTCGCTGCCATGCTCCACGCACCCTGACAGTGCCCTACGGATAGTTTTTGGAAGATGCTCGTTGCGCGCACCCGGACAGGAAGAGGCCCTGAGCCCGGGACTGGAGGAGGGCGAAGAAGAGGATGATGATGACGAGGACCACGAGATAGGGTTCACAAGCCGTTCTTCATGCGCAGGCTCCCCTTACATGCTGAACCCGAACCCAGTTTCAATTGGCCCCAGGATTTTTAGGATGAGGGATGACCTGCGCGCAAGCTCCTTTACAGGCTCATCCGCAGAACACACTCAAATAGTGGACGGATTAGAGGGCAGAGAGCAAGGCCTCTTCAGAATATTCGCGGCGAGAGCGAATGTGAGTTCGGTCCCCCAGGTAGGGCTGCGCGGGTACTGTTTGTCAAGGGGCCCGTGCTGGGGTAAGGGCAAGGGCAAGGGCATGTTGATGGTAGTCCGTAGGTGCCTGGAGCCCACACCATGCTGACAACTGCATGCATGGGGCACTCATTGCGCTTCACAGCACAGACACCCGGAGGCAAAGGGCGTGGAACAAGTGTCCACAGCCGGAAAGTGAACCGTAAGAGGCAAAGCGGAAGCCCCTACCTGAGAAAGTATCATGTCAACACCCCCCTCTCGATAACGAAGCCCAGAAGAATCTCACACGGACAAGCTGCAAGTATGAAAAAAAACACACGGTTCATCAAACTCGGCCCATTCGGCTTTTTTTGAAAGTGAAAGCCACATTGACAGGGGAACGCATTGAGAGCCAGCAGCTGAAAGTCGTGCTCCTCCCAATAGCTCCAGTCTTGCAAAAATACCTGCGAACAGAGCCTCCTGCAGTGCCTGCTGGTGCAATGCATCCCTGACCCCCGAAGGACGATGCAGGGCCTGGACTTTCGGCAGCCTGCGCTGGGCGCTCGTTTGGAGTGCGCGCTTCATGTGCGCACGTGTGCTTGGTACACGTGACAGTGTGGACGACAAGGACATGGCGGGGCTGAGTTGGTCATGCTTTCGAGCTGGGGTTGCTTGCGAGTCGAGTATGTTCAGGGCTTGCTATACGCGTGAGACTGCCTTCGCGCAGGACAAGCCTTCCGGCTAAATGACCCACATGTGTAGATATGTAGCAAATACTGACAATCCCCGCAACTCCGCGTTGCCCTAACAGTCGGCATGCGGCATGGGTGGAGAAGGCTGACGCAGACAGCGGCAGCAGAAACACGAAATCGGCGCAGCGCTTTCCAAAGCAAAGCCGTTCGATTCATGTGCATGGGGCACCTGCAGAACAACTCGTAGCATACCTCTCCTTAAACGAATCATGCACACATGAGCTCCCACCACCCCGGGCCCCAACAAACTGCAAAGCCAGAGCTCAAGGCAACTGGCTTGATGGCCGTGTCCACGCTGGCCGTAGTCCGAGTCCTGGCGAATGGGAGCCCACTTGCTCCCGCTGGGCCAGAACATCGATGCGGGAGAGAGATGTGCAAGAATTGGCAGCCACAGGTTAGAGCCAAAAATGTTGCTGGTTGCCACTGGAGTTGGGAGTTTTGGTCATGTGTCTGAGCATGTGGACCAAAAGTGTTCTTGTTTTTGAGGATCTGCCGGCCTCAGTCGTGGCATGAAGCAGTTTCCAGGTTGAAAGGGCATTTATGAAGCTGCGTGACGGGCGGTGCATGAAGTAATTAGACCCCAGCCCAAAATTCCAAAACCTCTGTGCTCGCCATCCAGGGAACCCTTCCGCCTAAGGCCATCAACTCAGAATTTTTAGTGGACGTCATCGAGGAAGCGGATGGCTGAGGGGCATGTGGGCAGATTCGTTTGTCACGTCCGATGCCTTAACCCTATAAACTAAACCCTAAACCCTATAAGGCCCCTGTGTGTATTTCGAACCATGCTTTTGTGCGAATCTGCGCTTGGAGCAAGTGCACAACTGTAGCTGCTAGCCAGGTCCTTTCTTCCTGGCAGCATTTCCCTAAAAGACGTACAGCGGTTTGCAGGCTTCTGCCATTTCCCTGCCGTTCCCCTGCATGTGGCCTGCTGTTCTTCTCTCAACACAGGCCCCAACCCTGCATTATGCTCCTGGCCAGTTCCTGTGCTCCCACCCAGGTGGTTCGGTCAAACGGGCTACCGGAAAGCTTCTCAGCCCAGAAAGAGGCATTGGCACTTGATTCGAGGTATGCTGGGCATTGGGCGGAGGTGCTGGTACTCCGAGTTCAGGGCCTGACTTCAGGTACTGGATGTGCCAGGGCTTTCAAGATTTCTTTCATCGGCTTTTTGGGAGGGACCCGAGATGACCTGAGGCTTCATCGGCGTGGTCCTTCTGCCCATTGCCGGCAACGCTTGTGAACACGCCAGGGCCTAAAGAGGCTCCTTGCAGAGCCAATTTCGGAGGTTCCGGGAGACTCCGGAGGTGGACAATCACGTGGAACTGGAAACGAGTGTGTTAGCAGCTGCACGTTGGAATATGAGCATTTGTACCTTTACTACCGTTACTACCTGATTGTGAGCCCCAAAAACAGGCTAGCAACAAACGTGAATCTGCGTTTGTTGCCTTTTGGAGCAACCCTGAATGGCAAAAAAGAAGACTGAAACATGCCCAGGCAAGTGCCATCCGATTCGCCATGCAGGACCACACTTGGGCGCTCGCAAAGCCCTGGTTAGTTCTCTCTTTCAGCTCGGTGATCTATTGGTTGGAGGGTTGCTGGTTGCCCGTGGAACTGTCAATTTGCGTGAAACGCCGGGTGGATGCACATGAATCTGGGTCCTGAGGAGCTCAAGAAACTTAGGTTGACATGGGCATGTCGTGTGTCAAACAGGTACACGTCCATCGTAAAGTCGTCGGGCCGCTGGCGGGGCGTCTTCCGGCAAGGTGTCCATGTTCCAAGTTCGAGCTCATCGTCTGCAACTGTCAGAAGAAGCTCGTGGCAGCTCGTCAGCCCCTTTCAAGTTTCGATCACAGCATTCTAGTGTGATCTCAAGACTGTACGGAAAACCTTGAGGGGAGCAGCATGAAGCAGCTCAAGACATCCCTTTTCGAAGCTACCTTAGCCCAGTCTGCAACAGCAAGACAAGGCTAGCTTGAATAAATGCCTTCGAACCATGACCATCAGCGTGGCCGTGTGTATCCTCAGCGGCGACCGTTCGAGCGTGTCGCTACCCCGACACTCCTTGATCGCGGCCCTTCGCCGTTCAGCGCAGTCTGCCCTTGGGCGGAGCATTCGTCACTGGGCCCAGTATAGGGATGAGATGTGCAAACGTTTTATCACGCTTGTAGCGTACTGGAAGACCTCGCAAGTCCCTTGCGACAAGAGTTTCCCTTGATTGAGGTGCGCTGGTGACGTCATCTGGGAAAGTTCTGCAGGCTTCCCATACCCTAGCAGACGAAGGAATCGAAGATGGTGATGTTGTGTCTGCCATCGTCCGAGAAGTCGAGGCTGGTGTATTTCTGGAATCTTCTGGACAAGCTACGTTAGGTCGCTAGGTTTCGCTATCTACACTGGAAGTGTTTCGATTCTAGATCAGCAATGAGGTGTTTCGGGCACGCCACACAATTTCCCAAACAACAGCAAGCACAAAGCAATGATAGGCTTCGTTGCTTCTACGCAGTTGGATTCGGCATGCATCAGGTCATCTCGCACAAGCTTGGCAGGGCGTTTGCTGCCATCGGCACAGATGGCAGTGTAGTCACTTGGGGCCATTGCGCGAATGGCGGAGATAGTACGAGTGTGAAGCACGAGCTGCAGGACGTACAGGAAATCAAGGCAGGCAGGGGGCAATTGGCGCATCATGTGCTGAGGCGGTGTGACTACCGTGTTTGGGATGCGTTTGTTCGTAGATAGAGTCTGCGAGAATCAAGAGTTCACTGAGTTCATATGCACAGAGTCGACCCCAGGCTACCGTGGGCGCCTTTGCTGCAATTCGTGGAGACGGCAAGGTTGTGACTTGGGGAAATCCTGATTGTGGTGGGGACAGCACCGCAGTGGAGGCCTTGCTTGAGGATGTGTGTTTTCTGCAGGCCACGTACAAAGCTTTCGCGGCTCTGCGACGGGATGGAAAGGTTGTTGCCTGGGGAAGTGGCTCATATGGAGGTGACACGGAGGATATTCATTGCCAGCTCCAGGGCGTGCGACATGTGTATTCTACCACTGGCGCATTCGCAGCGGTGAGGCATGACGGCAGTGTGATCACTTGGGGGTCTTTGTCTTATGGCGGCAACAGTGACACAGTCCAGGACTTGCTGACAGATGTCACAGAAATTGTCGGAGCCGCCAGGGCTTTCGCAGCGATCAAGGCGGATGGCACAGTGGCCACCTGGTGCTGCAAGCTCTGGCCAGACTTTGATGCCATCGTCGGTGGGGACAGCCAAGCAGTACAACAGCAGCTCAACGGCGTGCAGCAGATCGTCGCATCTGCGCATGCCTTTGCAGCGATTCGATCGGCAGGTGATGTAGTAACATGGGGGGCTTCCAGCTGCGGTGGCAACAGCGAGCCTGTCCATCAACAGCTGACGAACGTGAAAGCTATCCATGCCAATGCCTTTGCTTTCGCAGCGTTGCGATCTGATGGGACCGTCGTAACTTGGGGTGATAGCGCCTACGGCGGTAACAGCCAAACTGTCCAACATCGGCTGCAAAGTGTGCACGACATTGCAGCCACAGGGGGGTCGTTTGCCGCACTCACAAGTGACAGGACAGTTGTGACATGGGGGAGCGCGGAGCATGGAGGTGACAGCTCGAGTGTTTGTGAGCAGCTAAGCAACGTGCAACAACTTTGCCCCTCACTGCGCGCTTTCGCCGCCCTCAGATGTGATGGAAGTGTCATTACGTGGGGCAGTGCAGAGTATGGCGGAGACAGCAGTACCGTCCAAGAACAGCTGCACGACGTGCACCGTCTAGATGCCTCCATGCGAGCATTCGTCGCTGTGAAAGGGGATGGCTCCCTTGTGACTTGGGGAGATCTGGCCCTCGGAGGCACGACCAACTTCATGGAGCATGACTACTACTGACCTAATCCGAGCCACTGAGCGTCCACCGAAAGTGGAGGCTCTAAGGCCGGTGTCAATGCTAAGAAGGTAGGACTTTTAGAAGAGTACCGATCATTGTTCTGTGGCCAATGCTGCCCAGAACACCGAGCGTGCACATGCTGACTTCCAGGCAAAACGGCACATGCGCCTGGGTAGTTCCATGGGTTCCCGCTCCAAGCCTTTGCGCAAGTATCTGTTGAACTCCTAGGAGGTCCTGTGGAGTTCCTGTAGCGCACGCGCGGGTTTCCACGGCACTCCTGCTGCGTTTGTTTGGAAGTATAAGGCGCGATGCGACCACGCGCCATGCCCGTGTGCTTGCAGGGCTGGACCACTGTTTGGGGGGTTTGCGCCCGGATATTTTCAAGGATCGGGCGGCCCTAATTGTTTCCTTCAGCTGGCAGGATCGGCCAGGGCTTGCCATTGGCATTGCAGCCGATGGCCCAGCTAGCGAAACATCATCAGTTCCTGAGTCACGACAGTGCAGTACAGTAGTTCTTAAACCTACCAGTGCCACTCTTCCAGTGGTAAAGTGGACACTATAGGGCCAGCGTTGAGTCGTGGCACAGGCCCCTTTGGAATGCTAGCGGTTTAGGCCCTGACTGCTGACCGGCATGAGAAGATTGCTCCATCGCCTACAATGGCGCACCCATGCAGAAAATACACTGTATGGGATGACCTGAGGTGGGCTCCGCAACGCAGATCTCCCTCCTCGTGGCGGCCTAAGCCTGCCAAAACCCCCGCCCCCACCCCCCCCTCATGCTGGCACGTCGTCCTGGGCAACGCCTGGCCAGGTGGTGCCATTCTCTGTCATCGCGGCGTGGTTCATGGACGGTCCCTCAGAGAACAAGCTGCCTCCACTGCCTGCAAGCAGTAAGACCATGGACGCACGGGTAAATGGTTGATCCGTTTGTTTGCATTTGCAACCGCCATGCCCTAAATTGAAAGCCTAGGACAAGCCGCTCGACTTGGACTTCGGAGTCCTGAATACCGCAGCTCAGGGCTTATGGCATGCAGATGAGCGCGACAGCGAGAGTCAGACTAGCAAGCCGGATCAAGCCGGCAGGGGCAAAGGAAAGAAGAGTGGAGAGGATGCAACAAACCGGACAAGGAGAAGGCTTTTTTCGAACCCGAGGAAAGGCAGACTGTGTGACTGGACGCTGCATCCAGGCATCCAGGCCCGAACAACATAGCCGCACTTGAACAGTGCTGGTCCACCTTTTGATTCTCAGGGCATGCCATCCGCCTCAACAGCGGGCAGGGGGGGGGGGGGGAGGGCGCGGGGAGGGGCGTGGACTCGGAGAAGGGCTCCCAAGTCAAGCCGGCACCTTTCTTTCTCAAAAACAGGTGCAAAGCCACCGAAAAGATAAACGGGCCGGGAGGGTGCACAGAGAAAAGCGTGAGAGTCAGAGAGTCAGACTTAGAAGCCCGTTCGGATCAAGCCTTGCAGTTCTTCTTCTTCGGAGTGTGTGAGGTGGTCACGTTCTGCATTCTCGTCGTGTTGACGCTTCTGCTTGATGGACGATCCAACTGGCCCCTCACTTGGACGTAAGCACGGACAGGACAGGGGCGGGGGGAAGCTTGGAGCTTGGGATTGGTTTCATCATGCTGTGGGTATCAGGCCTTCAAATCTCGGGCTTCATGGCCCATGTGTATGGGGTTCTTTTTGAGGAGAATTGAGATTCCTTACGTGACTGTAGTTCCGGTTAGTGGGCCTGACACAAAGGACTCATGGCAGATCGATGCAATCGGACCGCCAAGCCTTGTAAACAAGCAACTTTGAGAACTCTGGTGCATTGGTTGCATTTGGATGTCTACCCAGTGATTGCCCACATTATGCTACACTGCCCCAGACTATCCATATTCTTTGCGGGGCAAACTGCTTTGCCCAGCACACGCCGCTTCTAATCACGCTTGCCGAAAGAGCTTGAAGTCCCAGAGAACCAAATGTGAGGTTCAAAGGCTATATCCTTTGTTGCATGTACGCCTTCCTTTCGGACGGGAGCCCAGATTCTGACCATGCTGCAAAAGGGACATCATACTTGCGTGGTTTCAGGTTGACTGCTTAGGGGTCATACTTGCATGGTTCAGGTTGACCGCATAGTGTCGAGCGCAGATTGTGTTGCAAAGAGCGCGCGCGTGTGTGGCCAGGAGGTAGGTGCCAGCATGGGTCTTCAACCGCATGTTCTGTCAAATCTGTCAGGTTCTATATTGGTACGTTCCGCAGTTCATGCAGCACCGAGCGTGGTCAGGCCGTGGATGTTGAAATGGCGGCTCATGGCACCCTAGAATGCTGTGCATGATGCTCTGCTTAGTGTGCTGCTTGCATAAGTTTGCAAACGAATGGTATGGCTGGTCTTCCCTGAAGCTTCATAAGTCTCGCAAGCGACACTTGCGATGCCAAGAAGCATGCGAGAATGCCAGGGAGATGAAACGAGCTCTATTGCACTGCCCGGCCAGCATCAACTGATCTAGCTGGCCCTGCTGGCGCAGGAATGTCTAGACACGTCCCGACGTGCGGCCGAAGTAGGCTGTGTAGGCCAGAAAGGGGTCGGTCTCCGCACCAGTACATTTCTAAACGAAGTCGACCTTTAGGGCCCGGTACGCCCGGGTATTACGGTTAGCGGTTCAACATGTTAAATCTGCTACGTGTCTTTATGGCTTCTGTGCACTTCCAGCGTTCAGCCGTCTTGGGCTGAAAGGTAGCAATCGGTATTGCTGAGAAAGGCGAATCTTAGAGCGCCGATTCGGTCAATGATTCAGTTCACCGCTCTGCGCAAGTTCCAGATGGGAGTGCGCGCAAACGTGCCTCCTGCTGCCTGGATGAGTCAGGACAGAGGGAAACCACTGTTTCCTGACAACTGCACAGGTTGGAAATGCAAGTTATTGCTTGATAAAAGATGACTTGCAAACACGAACCACGTAAGTTGCGGTCCCAAAGCCGACCTCTTTAAAGCATGTGTCGGCAGTTCCGAACCATGTTATTTTTAGAGATTTGGAACTTGAGTTGTTTTTGTTTTGTTTAGAAAGAGGGTTGGATAGAGGTTGTGGCACTTTCAAGCGAGGCGGAGATTCTGGCTCACGGGGACCCAAGCGCCATGCACCAATTCTTACGGATTCCTCCCACTTGCACTTCTAAGGCATGATGCTTGTGGCATGTTGCATTTTTGGTTGGCTTTTGGAAGGGGGCAGAAAGGGTGGGGGTCATATCTAATGGCGCATAATCGCAATGGCGTTGCCAAGAGTAGTCCCATGCAATGAAACCCAGAAAGGAACCACAAAGAGACGAGACCAAGTGCCAGGTACATGACTTTTGCCAGGCAAGGGCCAGTGTATTCTGACATTAATACTGGGAGCTACAACGCAACACTCTGCTCAAGACAGCTGCGTTATATGATCCCCATAAAGCCTATAGTGCCGCTTACGGCCTGCAACTTCAAATCCCTTCGTTGCAAGCCGATAGCTCGAATGGGCAGATTCACAAACTGAGACGTTCAACCACACAAAGTCCCGCAGTCAGGAAAGCCCGAACTCCTTTCTTATTCCCGTCATTGTCACCCCGACGTTCGCTACGTTGGCCGTAGGGTTAGGCAGCGAGCACTCGAGGTATCTTCACGGATTGAGGGGCCTTTAGGGCCTGTAGGGCTCTGGGACAGCGCCATGGCGGCCAAGTCCCCGAAAAAGCCTCGAACGAAACGCCTCGTGTGGATCTTCTGGACACTTGTTGGCCACCCCAAGGGCCTTAACAGCAGATAGCTGCAAACCTCAACAGGCAACTGCAGGGCTTGACGGTTGCAGCTATCCGTGGCTCCCAGAAAGTTGGCCGGCTTGCGTGGCTAGGTTCATAGGGGCACTCGGGGTTTATAAGATGTAGGTCAGCTGAGTGGGATTTTCTAGCTAAAATCCCTCTGAGCCCTGATCTAGCTGGTACGGTGCTCTCGTCCATCGCTGCCCACATGAGGGGGAAGTGAAAGCTGAAGAGCAGTCGCCACCTTGAGCGGACACGATGGTTTCTAATCGGCAAGAACTTTGCCTGACCTCGCGCGGACCTAGCGCAACCCTCGCGCAGGCCCAAAAACCATACCTCATCATAATGACCTATGACAAACGCAGGTTTTCCTTCATCGCGCATGCGCTTGGAGCAGCGGTTCGAAGGGCAGGGAGGTGGTTGTTCTGACTTCTTTTTGTCGTCTTAGATATTGACGGAATTGACAGTCAGCTTCTGAAACAAAACCTGTGGCAGCAGTTCAATGGGGATGTTGGAGTTTTCTCGAGTATCTGCGTTTAAGGCGTAACGAGCGGTTCAATGGAATTTGGCGTGCGACAAGGCCTGTATCATGCTTGCACGAAATGAGGATTGGGCCCATGATCTCAGTGGTGATGGCGCCAATCTTACTTCATGCAGCTTCCCAGGAGCTGTCGCTGTCCACTGATGCATCCTGGCCTATATGGATTCTGCGATCACTCGGCCACCTGTGATCCTGGTACAATATCTGTAAGGCCATGCGCTGTACAAGAGAATTACATGCGCGCGATGTGTAAAATTGTTGTAAGCTGGCACTCGGAGACTGGTATCAAGCAGAACCTCATGGAGTGGTTGGGACGATGGAGTGTCATTGTCTCATATAGAAGGGCACCCGCAAACCGAAGCCTCAACCGCATAGTGCCCGATGGCGACTGGTCAATGGCCGGCTGCATGCGGCAGCTCCAAATGCTTGCATCTCCATCCAAGGAGCACATGTTTGCAACTGCGGCGCTCCTGCTGATCGTCGCCAGCTTGTCTGTCATGGGATGCGTGTCCCTTGTGCACAATTCACGGTGGTAGCTAAGACGAGTTTCTCCTCATGCTGGGGCGGGCCTACTGAGAAGGTTCGAATCACAGCGGCTACAATGGCTAAAAGCGTTATCACCCCGGAGCGGTTCATTGATGGCCCTTACTCCCCTCGGCAACAATCAACACAGGCCCACCACATTCGTAGACAGAA